ATTTTCAAATCCTACTGGCATTCCTTGGAAATTTAAGGACTTTCCATAGTGACAGAACTCCAGAAATGGGTGAATTAACCCAAATTAAATCCCAATGTAAATCCCATTTTCAAATCCTACTGGCATTCCTTGGAAATTTAAGGACTTTCCATAGTGACAGAACTCCAGAAATGGGTGAATTAACCCAAATTAAATCCCAATGTAAATCCCATTTTCAAATCCTACTGGCATTCCTTGGAAATTTAAGGACTTTCCATAGTGACAGAACTCCAGAAATGGGTGAATTAACCCAAATTAAATCCCAATGTAGATCCCATTTTCAAATCCTACTGGCATTCCTTGGAAATTTAAGGACTTTCCATAATGACAGAACTCCAGAAATGGGTGAGTTAACCCAAATTAAATCCCAATGTAGATCCCATTTTCCAACCCTTTCTGGCATTCCTTGGAAGTTAAAGACTTTCCTCAATACAGAACTCCAAAAATGGGTAGATTACCCAAACTAAATCCCAATGTAAATCTCATTTTCCAACCCTTTCTTTCATTCCTTGAATTTAAAGACTTTCCTCAATACAGAACTCCAAAAATGGGTAAATTTACCCAAATTAAATCCCAATGTAGATCCCATTTTCCAACCCTCCCTGGCATTCCTTGGAAGTTAAAAACTTTCCTCAATACAGAACTCCAAAAATGGGTAAATTAACCCCAATTAAATCCCACTGTGGATCCCAAGACTCTAAATCTGCTTCATTTTGGAGAGGAATCATCCCTAAGTTTGCCCCCAGAGGATCAGCTGCCTCCAGCTGCACCGAGATCCCCGGAGAAGGCACCTGGCCAGTTTGGGATTCGTCGGCCTCACCCTTTTCCTGGCGACCTCAACCTCCGGCCGGAGCCTCTGGATGTGCCTGGCGAGCTCCTGGATGTCCCGGTGGCTGTTCCTCAGCTGCTCCCGTTGGCTCTCCCACGTGTTCTGCAGGTCCTGGTACTGAGGGCAGGAGGGGAAAAGGGGCGTTTGGGGTGGCTTTGGGCTCTTTCCCGGCGGGAGGACCCGTCGTGCCCCGGGTTTGGGTGCCCACTCACCCTGCCCCGGTACACGGAGTCCGCGTCGGCCGAGCTCCGGCGGGCGATGCCCTCGTACTCCTGGCGCACCTCGGCCAGGATCCCGTCCAGGTCCAGCTCCCGCCGCGGGTCCACGGACAGCACGACGGCCGTGTCCCCGGCCAGGGTCTGCAGCTGGGACAGCTCCTGCGGGGAACAGCGGGATTTGGGATTTTGGGAGAGCTCCTGCGGGGAACAGCGGGATTGGGATTTTGGGAGAGCTCCTGCGGGGAACAGTGGGATTGGGGTTACGGGAGAGCTCCTGCGGGGA